ACCCTCCCCCGTTCCCCGCCGACCCTCGGGTGGCTGCGGGAGGAGCCCCACGGGGAGCCGAGCACCGGCCCCGCCGTGCCCGCGGGGGCTGAGCACGAGTGAGGAGTGAGGGGTCGTACGGGGGAGGCTCCCACGGGTGTGCACAAACACGGAATGTGCGGAGCTCTGTGGGCAAGGGGCTCTGTGAGAGCTGGGATCTGCCCACGGGGAAGAGAAACCCCAGTGGGATCCTCCAAAACCTTCAGGGAGTGAGGGCTGGGGCAATTCCTGCCCGGTGGAGGAGCCCCAGCACCAGAGCAGCCAGCCAGAGGATTCCAGCTCCGCTGCCCATCCATGGATCCCACAGAGCTGCCCCAGCCTGGGCTCTGCTCCCCCCTGGGCACCCTCGAGCCATCCTGGCGGCGACAGTCCCGTTGGGTGCTGACAGAGGACCCAGCAGGGATCAAGGGGCTCCTGGGCTGACCCCACAGCTCCTGGGGACTGTCACATCTCTGGGTTTTGTCACTCCCAACAGGTGATGGGTTTGGGGGTCTGAGCTCACCCCTTGCACCCGCTGGTCCCTCGGGGCAGAGTTGGGAAGGGCCGGTGAATGCGTGCACTGTATTCCCTCCTCCTCACACAACAAAAAGGGGATTTGTGTGTCCTGAGGACTCAGGAGGTGACAGCCAGTGCCACACCACCTGCAGATGTTTCTCGGACTCTTTGGAGCGGGATGTGCAGGCTGAGGCAGGGCAGGGGCTAATAGAAACCTCAGGAAAATGATGCAAGATGCCACGGTGTTGGGGGATTGGCAGAGCCCAGCTGGAGCAGGGAAGGCAGGGAACTTGAAGCCCTGCCAGGCCGGTGCTCCGGCATGTCCTGTGCCCACCGCGCCGTGCACCGACTCCAAGGTCTTGACCACACGGAGCCCCTGGCCCTGGCCAAGCCGGAGGTGCCATGTAAACAGAGTCTGGGAAAAAGCACCCACCACAGGTGATGCAACCACGGAGCAAAGGGGCAAAGGGCTCAGCTGGTTGGGCCCGCTGGCAGCTCCCAGAATAGCCCAGGAATGTCAACAGAGAGGAAAGAGTGGGCACAGGCTGGCCTGGGAGCACGGATCCCACAGGGGCTGGGAGCCCTGGCTGCAGGCAGGAGCAGGATGGAGCCAGTGGCACTTCCAGCCAGGCACAGGGCACACGTGCTCACGGGGAAAGATGCTCCCACATGGAGAGCGGCGTTTTAAACCCAGGACCAGGGGTGATGTGTTCCCGCTGACAGGATGGAGTTAGATGGGATATGGGGAAGCAATTCCTCACGGTGAGGTTGGTGAGGCACTGGCACAGATTGCTCAGAGAAGCCGCTCCCTGAAGTGTTCAAGAGGTTGGACAGGGCTTGGAGCAACCTGGGCTGGTGGAAGGTGTCCCTGCCCATGACAAGGGGTGGAACTGGATGAGCTTTAAGGTCCCTTCCAGCCCAAACCATCCTGGATTCTATGATGCAGTTACACATGTCCAGGCCCCCTCCCAAATATCTGCACTCCTGCTCCATTTTGGACACTCCTTGTGCCCCACAGACCCTGCTGTGCTGTATTCCCCCATCCCTGCCAGGTCCCAGAGGCAGGGCTGGGGCTGGGGCACAGCAGGAAACAGGACACAAAGGGTGGGAGAATGGATGAGGCACCCCCCAAAACACCCACCCTCCGTTCCAGGCTGGGAGCGGGGTGACCCCAAAGGGAACCTGTCAAACCTGCCTGGATCCCTCTTGTTGGAGTCAGAGGCACAGAGAGCGTGCCCTTATCTCTGATACCTGGCTCTGACATCAAATAAAACATTGAATTTCATAGAACACCATGAAAACAACTGTTAAAGATAGATAGAAAAACTAAAAGTGTGAGTGTGTAAATAGAGAGTTTTCTGAAGTCACTGGGTGAAAAAGTTTAGAGTTTAAATTAGTTTAGAGAAAAGAAGATAAGATGAAAGATTTAAGGTGCTGTCCTTTCTTCTTCATCTTCTTCTAGAGGTTTTTGGGTAATAAGAAGTGATTAGATGGACTGACACAGTGCAGCACACAGGCGTTGGGTCATGGGGTCACTAAGAAAAATAATTTACATGTCTATTGTTAATTGGATGAAAATAAATATAAAGATAAAAGAGCTGCATATTTTGAGGCCATTTTGTGCCGTTCAAGCCAATCTGAGCCAGGTGATGGTGGATTGAACTTGAGCAGAAAATCTGGGGAAGACCTGCCAAATCTTTTGATAATATATTAATAAACACGAGAAACAAAAACCTAACGAGCCTTTAAAGTATTCTTCTTGACACAGAACTGAGATAAGCAAAACTCCCTGTGAAGGAATATCCCAGAAAAAACTCAACCCTGATGTCCTGGCATGACTTTATGATACTGGTATCCCAAATAGCCAATATATTTATGTTATATATTAATTTCTGCACCTTTAAGACTGGCTCTGAGAGCTAAAGAAGCTCAAAGCTGAAGTTTTAAAGACTGAAATATCCCACATCACCTCTGCACGGGGCAGCACCCCTTGAACCCCCATTCCACCTCCAGCTTAGCAGGGCCAGCCGACCCCCAGCCCCTCCTGACGGTTGTGCCCCCCGGCTCGCTCTGGCCCCCGGATCTGGGGCAGGGGTCAGCGCGGAGCCGCCGCGGCTCTTGCACCCATTGCATAATTGTGTTGTTGATTAAGCGGTTCCCAGAAAGTGAAGCCCAGGGACTGACCTGACCAAAATACCCACCAAGGTCCCCCTGGGCCCAGCACCTGGTGCACACATGGCTCCAGGGGCTCTGACCCCGTGGCCGTTGGGGCGAGTGTGGCACCTGGTGACCTGACCTGGAGGTGACAACTGCCTGGGCTAAGCCAGGACCCCCCAAGAGCTCGTGCAGCAGCACCTGAGCGTGGCTCATGGACTCGTGGAACCACATAGAATCATGGAATCATTGAAGATGGAAAAGACTGGATCATTGAGACCAGCTGTTAACCCAGCACAGACAGGACCACCACTAAACCGTGTCCCCAGCTGCCACATCCACACGATTTTGAACACTTCCAGGGATGGTTACTCCATCACTGTCCTGGGCAAGCCTTTCCAGGTCTTGGCCACCCTTTCCATGAGGAAATGTTCTCTGATCTCCAATCTAAACCTCTCCTGACACAGCTTGAGGCTGTTTCCTCTTGCCCTGTTGCTCGTTCCTTGGGAGAAAAGCACCTGTCAGCACAGGGGTGGCACTGGCTGGGAATGGGCCATGAGACTGGGAATTAACTGGGAATTAAACATTAACTCTTTTCAAGGCAAGGGAAGGGACCATCAGAAATTCCCACCCCTCCTGGGAGCTGGAGCTGCCCAGGGGACACTTGGCACAGTGTGCTTGGACCTTTGCTTCAGGGGCTGTTGATTCTGGCAAAGGCTCCTTGCAGCACATCTGTCCCATCCTGGAGTGGAGGCCAAGGGGACATCACGTCTGTCCCCGTCTGTGCCACATCTGCATCTGGACTGATTCCCTGGATGCCGTGTGCCCATGGGTCTCGGGTTTGGAAGACAGGTTGCTGCTAGGGAGGGCAGGAGCGTCCCTTGGAATGAAAATATAGACCCCCTCCCTCGGAATTATTATCATTTTGAAATCAAGGGGCTCTCAGGCAGAGATCTGGGGATAGGGATAACAGTTCTTGTGTGTATAACGAGGCACACAAACAACAATAACTACAGTGTTAACAACAAAACAGAACCAGGGACCCCGTGACAGCTTTCTCAGTGAGATGGGAAGGGATGGAGGAGAGGCTTTGTTTCACAAACCCCCTCGGGTTGGCAGTCAGTGCTGGTGCTCCTGCAGGGCTCTGAGGAACACTCAGCTGGAGCAACAGGGATGAGCTGAGATCCCGGGCTGGTGGCTGAGGTGGATCAGCAGGGATGAGCTGAGATCCCGGGCCAGTGGCTGAGGTGGATCAGCAGCTCTGTGGTGGTGCCTGGCACTGCCACACGTCCCGGCAGGACAGGGGGTGAGAGGCCACCAATGAAGAGGGAAGAAGGAGAAGAAGCAGCAGCTCTGTCTGGGTGATGGCGAAATTCCCTTCTCCCCACTGCAACACCTCCCAGCAAAGTGTCCTTCTCTGAAGCTGAGGAAGCCCCCCGAATTATCCCCACCCTCCCCTTTTCCTGCCCCCCTGGGCCCAGCCGAACTCTTTGTGTTTCTCAAACACCCACCAAGTACCCACAGTCAGGTTTTCCTGGAAACTAATGGGTAAAAATTCCACGGGTGAGCCAGAACTGAAAGAAGGACACCTAACCCCAGCACCATGGCATTGCTGTGCTGGGGGCTGCAGGGTGAGACTGAAAGGACACCTAACCCCAACACCACGGCATTGCTGTGCTGGGGGCTGCAGGGTGGGCTCCCTATCGGCCTTACTGGTCCCAACAGGACAATCCCATGGCACTGGGCCTGAGCCACCCCTTCCAAAACCTCCTGAGAAATTGGATCATAGTGTCCTGGCAGAGAGGAAGGATCCCTGGCTCCAGGGAATCGCTGACTGCACCATCCTCACCCTGCATGGTGTCATTTTGGGATTCCTGAGCCTTGGCCACCCCGTGCTGTGGGTGAGGAAGGGGCTGTTGGCTGCATCTAGGAGCCTCTGTCCTGTGGGAATGGGACAAACCTCAGCTCAGCCTCCCAGGGTTGTGCTGCTTGAGCTGAGGGATCTGTTCGGCCACAGGACCAGCCAACAGCTCTCTTGCCCCTTCCCTGCTCCCTGCGTGCCCACAGCTGCTGCATCCCAGGAAGCTTGGCAGGGAAGTTGTTTGTTCAATAAATATAGACAGTGAAATGAGGCGTTGGAAAAAGAAGGGAAAAAACAAACACCAAACCCTCTTTGGGTTTGCGCAAGTGGCCTTGAATCCCAGACAGGATCGATCCCCGAGCCTTCCTCCCTTCCCGTGTGGCAGGAACGCTTTGGGCACCTGGATCTGGCGAGATGGGAGTCCCTGCTCCATCAGGGCTGGTGGGAGGATGTGTTCAATGTGTGCTTGTGCCACATCCCTTCTCCAGGCACCACAGGTCCTCCAGGACAGCGCATCCCTGCTCCAGCCGGAGCTGCTCATGGCTCGCTCATCCTGGAGCAGGCAGAGGATGCAAAGCTGGGAGGGGAGAGGGACTGAGAGCACCTCCTCACTCTTCTGACCCTTTCCCCACCTGGATCAGCTCTGTCCCAGCCTCTGGGGTCAGTTGTCAACCCTTGTAGGGGTTGAGGACATGGGGGTCCCCATTCCATTGGGGATTCATGGGAGTACCCGCTACAGGGTGCGTTCATGTGGCCAAGCACTGTCACCTGCTCCTGGCTCCTCTTCCTCATTCTCCACATGGGACAATGTGCATCCTGCCCTGGCTCCAGCCAGCCCTGCTCATGGCTCATCATCCTGGAGCGGGGAGTGGATGCAAAGCTGGGTGGGGAGAGGGTCTGACACCATCTCCTCCCTCTGCAGACCCTCTCTCCACCTGGATCTGCTCTGTCCTGGCCTCTGTGCTTGGTTGTCGGCACTTGCAGGGTGGACCCTAAAGCTGAAGTGACCCCTCAGGGATGACCTTGGGACCCCCCTTCCAAATGTCCCACCCCAGCAGCTTCTCCCCTCTTTTCCAGTCCTCGCACATGGGGGACACGTGGGGAGCGCTGGAGAAACCTGAAGCCATGGTTACGTAACGGGGCAGATGTGTCGGAGCCGCCCTTTGTCCCCCGCTCTCACGGCCCTGACATGTCCCACTTTGCTGTCACCAGGCTGGCCAGGGCCAGCAGGCCAGGGATGAGCCAAGGGGATGCTCTGCAGTGGCACAGCTGGGGGCCAGGGGGGTTGGGAGGAGTGGTCCTGGGTGCTGAGGCTGCCCCAAAGTCCGTCCACTTCAAAGGGCAGAGGAATTTCTCAGTTCTGTCCTGATTTGGGACAGGGATGGCCAAATGCAGGGTTTTGGTGGAACAAGGGATTTGGCAAGGAATGGTGCCTTTCCTGGTGGGAATTACAGACCATCTGTGTCCATGCTATGCCCTGGGATGAATTTGGGGTTCTGCATCCCCCTGGGAAAGGCAGCTGAGGGGCAGAGAGCACTGGAGCTCTCTGGGAGCAGAGTGGAGGTGCCCAGTCCCACTGCCTGGGTTTTCAATGGCAGAATGGCTCTGGGCCGTGCCACCCCAGGGCTGCCAGGGACGGAGGATTGCCAGGAGCACTGGAAGATGTGCTGGGGAATGACAGGGCACACACGTGCACACACCACGGCTGGGAGTCTTTATTGAACACCAGCTAGCCGGGATGCTTGGAGACACCTTCCTCCCACTGGGATGGATTTCTCTTTCCTCTCCCTGCTCAGCCACGTGTCCAGCTGAGTGGGGCCATGGGGATGACCCCTCCCTTCTGTCCTGGCCAGCCCCAGCAGCCCAGGGGAGCCACTGGTGGGTGCTGTGCTGATGGAGCCGCACCCAGGGCGCACCAGGACCTTGGGCTGGGATGGCAGCGGGACCGTCCTGGTCCAGGCTCTGCAGCATCCGGCAGGAAAAGGCTCTGGAGTCCATCAGGAGCCAGAGTGGAATCCATGGGCAGATCCAAAGGGGGAAAAAGCCGTGTGGGAGGTGAGAGAGGAGGGGACTTGCACATTCAGCATCGCCCTTGATGCTTCACCCACAGGAGGAGAAACCCCCTTGGCAGAGCTCCAGTCGCCCAGCCGGGAGCCAGGAGGAGGGAGCCCCATCCTGTCCTCCCGCCCGCGCCGGCAGCGCTCAGGTGCAGCCGCAGGAATCCACGATCATGTCGGGGATGTCGGTCTTGACGATGTTGCTGTCCCGGTCGTAGTAGAGCAGGGAGAGTGGCCGGCGCTGGGTGGGAATGCAGCAGGAGCCCACGGCCGCCGCCGCGCTCGCCGCCTTGATGCGGTTGAGGACGGCGGTGTGGAAGGAGGCGGCGAGGCCGGGAACGCCAGCCATGTGCAGCGGGCACAGCCCCGTGCAGTAATTCATGTGGTACCCCTCTGGCTGGATGATCCAGTCTTCCCAGCCGATCTCCTTGAAGTCCACAAAGAACTCCTGGCGGCAGCACATCCGCGAGTCCGCGCCGCAATCGACGCCGCGACGATGGACGCGGTGGGGTGTCCTGGCCTGGGCTTGGGCCACCACAAACGGCCAGTGGGAATCGCTGTGGTCCGATGGGAGAGGGGACCCCCAGTCCTCTGGCACCTCCAGTTCCACCGTGAGCCGAGGGGTCTCTTGTCCGAAGAGGCTCCGGACGGCTGCTCCAACGTCCAGCGTGGTCCAGCCGGATCTCTGCACCTCCAGCCGGGTCTCGCTGGCCACCGACACGTTCGGGTCTGGCCGCAGGATCCTGACAGTGACGGGCTGTGCCCCGCGGCCGGGGGCTGCCCAGAACAGGTAGAGGGTGGCCTGCAGGATCTCGGTGCTCCCGGCCACCTCCTGGGAGAAGCGGAAATGCAGGAGGACGCTGTGGGAAGTGGAGGATCCTGAGCACAGAACCAAGAGTAGAGTCAGGAGGGAAGCAAAGAGGGGACTCGTCTCATCTCCTTGCCATGAGCAGGGACACCTTTCACTACCCCAAGCTGCTCCAAGCCTCGTCCAGCCTGGCCTTGGACACTTCCAGGGATGGGGCAACTTCTCTGGGCCATGTGGCCACCCTTACAGGGAGGAATTTCTTCCCAAAATCCCATCTAAATCTCCTCTTTTCCAGTGTGAAGCCATTCCCCCTTGTCCTGGCACTCCAGGTTGTTGTCCAAAGTCCCTCTCCAGCTCCTTGGAGCTCATGAAGGCACTGGAAGGGGCTCTGAGGTCTCCCCAGAGCCTTCCCTTCTTTCTTGGCTGCAGAGCTGCAGCTCCTCCTGGCTGGGAAAGGGCTGATGGGGCCATGAGAGCACTCGGGGCTCCTGGCACAGCTCTGCCCATGAGGACACAACCCCCTCCCCATGCTCCAGGCCTGGGTTCACCCCCTGGCTCGATTCCAGCCGACGCTCCACCAAGCCAGGAGACAACCCCCCATTGTCCTGGGGAGCGGGAGCACCATGTGCCACGGAGCAGCATTGTCCCCAGAGGGCTTTGGGGACACAGGGCCTGTGAGGGGAGAGGAGTCCCCCAACCTCACCACGAGGAATTTGGTCTGGGAAAGTGAGGGTGCAGGATTCTCAGTGGGATGGGGTGGTGAAACTGCATTTCTCCAAGGAAAGTTGTCTGTGAAAAGTGGGATGCTCTTCTTTCCAGTGTCACTTTTTAGGAGGCCTGAGTGTGTTTTGGGGAGTTCTCCCAGAAGGAGCAGATTCTGGAGTGAAATGAGGAACCCGGTGCTTTGGGTGGGATGTGGAGGCACAGTGAACTGTGCAGCTCTGTCCACACGCTATGGGCTGACAGGAAATCGAGGCTAAAAATCGCATTTCTGAAAACGTGGCCATGTGACCCCTTCACCTCCAGCACAAGGGGGAGGGTTCAGCCGAAGTGGGCAACAGGTGACACGATAGAGCAGCACATCTGCACTCTGTGCCACCCCTGCACGTCCCATCCGTGTGCGAGGTTCAGGAGCCCCTCACACCTTCCAGCAGCAGTGTTCCCTCCATCCCAGTGCACAGCCCAGCACTGCCGTGTATGGATGCTAACTCTGAAACAGAGAGCACGGTGCCTGTAGAAATTGCAGGCCACATAACTTTCTCAGTCTTGCCTGAGAAAGTGGCCTGGGAAATCATGGGGAAGAATTAAAACAATCCTCAGAGATAGAGAACAGCCTTGCAGGTGCTGTTTGTCTGTTCCTCGTTTTCTTGCAAGAGAAGGTCGAAGGGTAGTGCACCCCACTGACCAATGATAGTGATGTGTTAGTTTACTAAGCAATAAGAGTTTCTTTTCTGTACTTTTCACGTATCAGCCTATAAAAAAAACCTGAAGTAATAAACCAGAGAGAAATTCTCCTGATCCACTCCCAGGAGAGTCTGTGTTGTTTTACTCGCCGTTCCTAATAGAGCGACATCCGTGCACCTCCCACCTCCTTTCCCTCCCTTCCCTCCCTTCTCTCCCTTCCCTCCATGCCCCCCACCCGCAGGACACTCACCTGCCTCAGCAAAGCTCAGGATCTCGTATTCCTGCAGCCCCGTTCCCGGCCGGGCCGGGCTG